TTCTTACTGATGGACAATTATCAGCATGAAGTGGATTTGAAAGAATAAATAATTTTGTAGCTTCTCCAATAACTTCATTTCGTTCTGAATTACCTGCATAAAATGATCCTGAAATATGTTTTGTCTTAATTTTTTTTGAATCATATTCAAAATACTTTTTCAAAAGTTCCATCATTTTTTCCTTTGAATATCCAACTTCTGGGATTTCTGTGTAATTTTCAAATTCTTTAATACGTAATGCTTCTCCCATACTAGTTGTTGATTTTTTAATTTCTTTTTGAATGACGTTGTGAATACCAGTTGCTCTAGTAATTCCTTTAAATAATTGTGAATAGATATTATATAATGTTTCCTTACATGGTAAGAAATAAGAAATAACCCATCCAATAATTCCACCAATGACTATCTCTCCAATCATCAATTCTACTTTTTAAGTTTATTAGGTTTTATTTTGTATTAGATGAGAAAGGACATTGTCCTGTTATTCTCTAGGATTTCCCGAAGTGAAAAGATGAAAAAAAAAAAGAATATTAATAGTTGAATGATATTGTTTGAAATTAATAATAATTGTAGAAAAAACACTTTTCTTTAATTTTTATTTATAATTAGAAGTGTTATTCTTCTATCTTTCTCTCTTTTTAAAGAACACTCTTTTAGTTATTTTATCCTTTCTTGAATATGCCATTAGGAATGAACTTATCCTAACAAAAGATTTTCTTGTCATTTTTATGTCAAATGTAAAAATATCAAATTAGGGTATAAGGTAGAGTTCCTTATTTAAGTTCTTTAATTATCAAATTAACAAAAACAAATAAAAAAAATTTTTTTTTATTTATGTTATTTATTGGTTCATTTTCTCTATAATAGAAAATCAACTCTTGGGTTTCATTGTTTAAACAAAAGAAATGTACTTTACATTTGTTAGTATGAATGAAGGTATCTATCAATTGTAATAACAAGGAATCTTAATAGTTATGAAATGAAACGATTACTTTCTTTTCATGATAATTTGAGAATCATAATTAAATACTTAAGAGAATGAAAGAGAAGAAAGAAGTAATACTAAAACAAAGTATGAATTGTGTATATTCTCGTGGTTTGTTTATATTTTATTAAATTATAAAATGTTTATAGATAAACAATAAGTAATTTTGTAGATTTTGTAAAATCGTTTGAAGATAATGTTCACCAGAAAAGGTTTGAAGAAATGGAAGTAGCGTTGAGAACATATCAAAAGATACTTAAAATGTATCAAGATAACAGTGTTCAAGCACGGAAATTGTTATTAAAATCACCAGCTACAACTGAATCTCAAATGGTTTTGTCTCAACTTAGTTCTATTGAGAGTATTGTTAGAAAATTCAAATCAAAACCTATTCAAATTGATGTCAATAATAATATGAATAAAAATAAAACAAGAAGAGAACAAACAGAAAGGAAAAGAAAGATAATCAAACCAACACCACAAGAACTTGAGAAAATAGTAAAATCCTTTTCATTACCATCTATTAAATTATCAACTAACATTAATCCTAATAAGAAGGCAGAACAAAAAGTTATTGTGTCAGAATTTCAAGGACAATTTTATCAAATGACTAAATATGCTTCAGGATGTTCATTATTACAAAAATTATTGGATGGTGCAAGCAAAGAGAGTGTTCTCCTTATTTTTAAAGAAATTGAAGATTCTCTGGAAGAACTCATAACTCATCCAAATGGACAATATATCTTACCTAAGATTGTAGAATTTGGAAGTGAAGAAATAAAAGATAATGTGTTTGGTGTTGTTTCTGAAAATTTAGTGAAGTATTGTTGTCATCAATTTGGAGGATATACAGTTCAAAAAATTGCACCATTTATGAGAGAAAGACATATTCAAATATGGTCTCCAATATTAAGAAATAATATTGCAATACTTATCATTGATCCTCATGCTAATTATGTTATTCAAACCTTATTAAAAATATTTAATGAAAAGAATTCTGATTTCTTTTATAGAGGATTAAAAGATTGTGTTGTTGATATCTCAAAAACTAAGATTGGATGTTCTGTCCTCACACATGCCATGGACAATTCTACAATTCAACAAATCAATTCAATTAAACCACAACTTCTTTCAAACTGTTGTGATTTAATTCAAGATCAATATGGTAATTTTATTATCCAACATTTGATGGAAAATGACCCAACAATTATTTCAGATATTATTCATAAAATTAAAGATAATATTGTATTTTATTCCAAACAAAAGTTTAGTTCGAATGTAGTTGAAAAGTGTCTTAAGTGTTCAACAGAAAATGTAAGACAACCATTACTTGATGTATTATCACAACCAGAATCTCTTGTTGCATTAGTTGAAGATCAGTATGGAAATTTTGTCATTCAAGCATTCCTTGATGTTCTTCCAGAAAATAGAAGAGAAGAAATAGCCCATCAGATTATTCCTCTAATCCCTTCAAACAGTCAATTCTCGTACCACATCGAGAAGAAACTTTTACAATCATTCACAAAATAATTATTTAATTCTACTCATTGTTTTTAAAGTAATTTTCATTTTATTATCAAAGTATACTAAATTATTTTATAGAACAAACAATAAAGTCTATGTTTTATTTTAATTTCCTACAACCAAACTTTTCTTTCTAGACAATCTATTTTTTTGTTCAGAATCACTATATTACAATAAGGTCTTTTGACAATAATTTTTAGATAATTCTTGAATGAGTAACAATTCTACATTTATCTATTTCCTGAACTTTACAATTCCAGTTATTTTATTAAGTACTCTAACTAGACTAGAAAATGAAGTGTCATAACCTCTATCAATGTGATGCAAATGCTTTGATATAAAATTAGGTTTAGTGAACTTTAGAACTGAAGTGAATAAAGAAATTGAAATATAAAATGATGACAAAGAAAATTAAGAAAGAGACTTATTTTAATAAAGGTATTGAGAGATAGTGACATAGAAAACAAGAAAGTTTAATACCATGAATTTGTTTATTGTTATAGAGAATTAGAATAGACTAAAAAATAGAAAAAGTCTGTGGGGGTAAAAAGGAAAAACATACAAAATAACTTTGTAATTAGTTTTATTACTTATGTTTGAATGATTGAACAATACAAAAAAATTGCTGAGATATGTCTTGTAAAATTGAGAAGTCTTTGAAGAAATAATATGTATCTCTATTAATTGCTATGGAGTAATTTTATGATGGTAGGGCTATATAATTTATTTAAGAATTGTATTCCTTTTCACAAACATACTCACAGATAACTAACAGTAATGATAAATTGATCAAAATCGTTAAAAGTGAAATATTTTAATATTACCTTGGAAAACACAAAAAAGATTCAAAAAAGACTTAAAAGAAAATAATTGCAAGAAGATAAATTAAAGGATAAAAATATCAATTTCTGAAAACAGAATTGATAGATGAAGACCACCCTTCAAAATCAGAACCAAATCCAAAGAGTAATGATATGGTCTTTTCTTTCTTTCCCTCTGAAATACTGAAGGTAATAATATCAGTAATGTCTTTAACCTTTTTCATTTTCTTATTATCTACTAAGTGAGAAATACCTTTTTTACAGACGAATTTAATGTCATACAACTTTTTATTTTTCTTGTTTTGGGTTAAAACAAAGAAAGAATCTGACATCAAGACACATTGATAGATAGCTTTAGATTTTTCTTTGATGTTTAATGTACCTTCTCTAATAAATTGTCGGTGTTCATTTGGTTCAATTCCAATAATAACTTTGTTATAATGACTGAGAAACTTCTTGTCTTGAAAATCTTTTTTATCAGTATTAAGTTTTACTGTTAGTTTACGACCATCATCTAATGCTTGTTTCAAATAATCATACTCTTCGATTGGAGGAGTAGCTTTTAGTAATGATTCAAGAAGTAAAACATAACGTGGTAAACGTTGGACTGGAAGAATCAAAAAGTTAGCAAGAATCAAACATTGTCCTGCCCAAGTTGTGAGTTGGTCTTTAACAATTTGAGGTTTCTCACTAAAATCAAATTGAATACCATCATCTGCTTCAACAAGATAACGAACATAAACATCATACACTTCTTTCCAGTTGAAAAATTCAATGAAAATGTCTGCAATAGAGACAAACGCTTCTTCTTTTTGACTTAACCATCTCTCAGATATTTTCTTAAATAAACGTTCATGAATCTCGTAAACATCTTTAAAGTTAGAGAATAATGTATCAACATCTTCTGGAAGGTTTTGTTGGAAAAATGGGAACATAACGTCTAAGCATTGTTTCATAGATTCAACATATGTTTTTTCTGTTGTATACATTTCTTGAATTATATGGAATCTTTTAGCTTTCTTTAAGTTGAATTCAGAAAGGATTTTCATTTGCTCCTCATTAGGATTAGATTGACCCAACAAAGTTTTAAGATCAGTAACAGACATTCTATTTGATTTCTTCATAATAGGAGTACTTTGTGCAACAGAAGGAAGATGGGTTCTATTACTACCAATAATTGACTTTCTAGTGTTATCTCTACTATGATCACTTATACCAAGTTTAAATTTCGAATCTTTTTGTGTTGATTCTTCAACTTTTTGTTCTTCATGTTGCTCTTGTTGTGCTTGTTTAGCAACAACAAGGAGTCTTTCAGACTCTGATATTTTAACTTCAGGAGTTGGAGCAGTTATAGTTTCCTTAATTTTTTTAAGTAATTCAATATTTTTATCATTATTCAATACTTGGATAATTGATTTTCCTATTGTTTTTGTTGAAGGGCCAATTTTAGGGTCTTGACAAATTATATCAATTGCATGAACACAATCCAAAACCATAAACTCTATCTGAATTCCCTCATAAGAAATTAAATACCTAATAATACCAAACAATGAAGATACAATTTGAGTATCAAGTTCTTGGTAGTGTTTGAGTAAATTAGTAATTTTATCAGTTAATCCGACCATTCTCATATGATGGTATAATCTTTTTTCATATAAACAACTAAATAATGCATTAACAGCCCAAGTAAAACTTTGTTGTGTTGTTTGATCATTAAATGGATAATCAAGATAATTAAATAATTCATAAATAAGACCAGATTCAAGAAATTCTAACTCATGCCCACGAACTAATGAAATTCCATAAGTAATTGCCATTAATAATTCAGCAAGTTCTCCTTTTGCTCTAGACATTAAAGAGGTCATTGTTGGTAAAAATAATTCTTGGGCAAATAATATTTTAACAAAAACTGAACGGATTCTTTCATCAGGTTGAATAAGTAATTGATACAATAATTTACATCCAGTAATATTTTCAAATTCGTCTGAAGAAGTAAGCATTTGCACTGCTTTTTCAATACCATGAGCTTTAAGAAACATTACTTGTCCACGAGAGTTTGCTGGTTGAATGATATTAGTTATTGTAGAAGAAGCTAATATTCTGTTTTGGTTTGAAGGTTCGACAATAGCCATTAATGGTGATAATAAAGGATTAAAATTATCTATAAGGTTTGTGTTATCATAAATAATATTGGCTATAAAATATAATAATTCTTGTACCTGAGTACTTGACATTGCAAAAGACGAGTTAAGAGCATCAGTTAGTCCAGCAATTAATTGAGGATCATACAAAATAGAATACTCAGCAAAAGAAGAAGATGCAAAAAGGTCATCTAAAATATGAATAACGCAAATACAAACTTCTGTCCAATCGTCAAGACGAGGACAACAAAGTAAATGGGAAATAAACCCAGAATGAGCACAATATAACATTTCTCTAAATGATGCTTGTTCTAATCTTTCATTAATAATATCCAATCCTCTTCCATAAGTGTCATCATTATGGAGTATATCAAAGATTCTTTGAAAAGCTTTTTCTTGTTGCTCAGATAATTGTTTTATGAGGCAATTTTGAAGTGACATAATTGTTTCAAATCGAGTTCTGATTTAAAATAAAAAAGTAAATTTAAACATGAGGAACTACTTATTTTTATTATTTCGTTGGTGTATTTTTATTGGGATATTCTTTAAATAGAACTATTCAAAAATGATAATTCTAAAATTAATAATAAAATAAATAAAAAAACTAAATATTTTTTAATGATGTTTTCTCTTAAAAACAGAACACCAACAGATGAACTTCAAAAAGTATTTATTTCAATAGCTAAAGAAATTGATTCTATTAGTTTAACTGATAAATCAAAATATTATTATCCACAAAACACTAAAATTATGGAAATTGTTTCAATGCAAGAAGGCACTTTAACGGTAAAATCAGAATTTTGTGTTAATGAAGATTGTTATATTTATTTATACATTCATGGAGAATGTTCTTATTTTCAATATACAACAATTAAAAGTAATACTTCTCAAGTAATTCTTTCAACCTTTAAATTGTCTCAAGAATTTGGTAATATTGATATTAAATTTTTTTGTGGTAATCATGAAATTTATCAAATTTTAAATGTACCTTTAACTGAAAACAAAAAAACTCTTTATACCATTAATGAAGATACTATTACTCTCACTTTTAAAAAACATTCTATTACTTCTGGTAATATACTTCGCTTTTATAAAGCTAATGATTGCTTAAATGACTCTCCAGCTGTTAAAGAAATTAAATTATTTGAAGGAACAATTAAAATGGGACTTACTTTTCCTCATGGTAGATATGTAATGAAATGGTTTGAAGAAGATACTCATAAACATTCTACTCCATATCACACTTCAATTGAATTTTTTATTTATTGTATTTTAGTTCAATAACATTATTAAGAAAAAATAATTGTTATTAAATGATGTTTCATTTTTTTTGTTTTTTTTTTAATTAAAATATAATTTAATAAAAACTTCTTTATTTATTAAAAAAATTATTATAACTAAAAATTTTTTTTAAGTTTCATTAAACTAATTCTTTTTCATTATGTTCTAAATGTTATTCTTTAATTTACTTACAGCAAATTTATCTCATTTCCTTTTCCCTTAAAATAAAAATAGTTGTATAAACCTTTTTCCTTTTATTTTATCATTTTATATTTAAAATTAATTAATAAATGTTTTATGATTCCAAGAATAGTTCGAGTCTAACCAAAAAAAAATACTTTTACAAAAAATTGAGTTATACCCAATAACTTGTAAATAAAATATTTGGAGTAATTCTTCTAAACTTTATAATAAATGTAATTTAGTGAGAAATAGTGAATATATTCACCAAACTAAATAATATAATTGTTATGTTTGTAATAACTTACAAGTACTTAAACAACAACCTTTGTTGTGTATTTATTAACTGGTACTCAATATAAATTTGCAGTTATCAAATAAGCTTTCTTAGTTTTATGGCCATTTACCAAAGTAGATATTTTCAATTAAATTAGAGTTTTTATAGTATGGTACTCTGTTATATTCTACACTAAAACATTAATTAAAATAAATAACTTATACCTTCTAATATATTTTAGTAGTATACGGATTTCATTAATATATAAAAGAAAAACTGTTATTCTTATGAAAAAATCTATTCTCACATAACCTTGTGAGATTAATACTAACTTTATAGAAACTCATGTCAAAAGAAAAAAAGTTATGGCGAACGTTAACAGTCAAGGGATAATAAATTCTTTTATTCTTCAGGGAGAAAGAAAGATTTTTTTTGTAAGTTGGTATACTTGACAGTTGGGTATCAAAAATAAAAGTCTTCCCTACCTACCCTCAGGGTGTGTGTTTTATTTGTTCTTTATGTAAATAAAACAAAAGAGTATTTTAAGAATAAAGTTGTGGTATAATTTGAAAGAATAACAGTTTTGATGAGGTATTGAGTTTGTCTAATTTTTTGGTGTTGATGATATTATCTCATTGGTGTTGTGAAATTAATGACTCAACATCAAAAAATGGGAACCTTGTCTGTTTGGCTTGAGGTATATCATATAGTCAGTTATAGCACAATTAATCTTATGAAGAAGTGGGTTTTAGGGTTATTCTTTGAGTGTTTTTTGACTATTTTAAAGTTTGTGGTGAAAAAAATAAACAAATTGCTAGATAAAGAATACAATAATGATGCAATCCTAAAATTACTGTGTATTTCTCTTATAAACTCACTCTTATTACCCCCATCGAACTCACAAACACTAAAAAAAGATGACACAAGTAACAAACATGCAAATAAGTGGACAAGTAGCTAAAGAAGTCCCATGGCTCCAAGCATCAGTCCAAGAAGTGTTACTACAATACCAATACTATTTAGAAAGTATCAGAGATGAGAAGTTTCAAGTCGAACCAAATGAACCAATTGAACAAGCAATCAAAAGGGGAGAAGGAGTATTTGATAGATTAGATGAGGTGGAACAAAGAAGGAAATTAGTATTAGAAAAGGGGAAAGAAGCTATGCAAGGAAGTGAACATGTCCGGACTGTCATAGAAGGGATACTAATTAGATGTGAAAAAGATGAAGAGGTAGTAGGGAAGTCAATGAATGAAGTAATAAGGAAAATCATTGGACTTGAAAATCAAAAAAAGAAGGCTCTCATTAAGCCATTTCAAACACAGATTGATGCAATTCGAAAACAATATATTATAAAGAAAGAAGAGTGGGAAACACATCTTAATGTTTATGTAGAAAATAAAAGAAAAGAAGAAGAGGCTAAGAGAAAAGAAGAGGTGAGGAGGAGAAAAGAAGAAGAAGCCAGGAGAAAAGAAGAAGAAAGGAAAAAGCAATGCCATCAAGAATCAGAAGAACAACTAAGGATTAAAGAAATGAAACAATTTGAAGAATGGACAAATAGAAAAGTTGGAAGTATTTTATTTGATTCATATGTTAATGATTGGAATCAACGAACATCTGTTTGTGACAAAATGTTAATTGGGAAAGAACACGTTTTGTTCGTTATAGAAGATACAGATGGAAA